CAACTCGCCTGAGATTACAGACCAGTAGGAGTAAGCCGAAACTCCGTTTGAAACGCTAAATCTCAAGAGTGTTACACAATCGCTCTCCCTAGTGTGGCACTACGACACCATTAAAAAAAAGGAGCGCCATGCTGTGGATATTCTGCGATATCGATTTCTCAGTAATTCTCAACCTCAGAAGCTTACCGCACATGAACAACTTGTTGATAAGAACTTCTACAGTTTTCTGGCAGCAGAAGGTATTCTCAGCCATTTTGGGCAAGGATGCTGGAGAATTTGAGATAACGTCTCCATTCATGCGCTCTATGCTCATTCGACAAGTGCTTCCCAACATATACAAGAATGTACCAGATTCAGAGTTCCCTCGTCGTTCTGACAATTCTTTTGACATTATCTTGGGCCTGATACAGTAGTGGCGGAAAATAATGAGAATTTTATGTAATCGCTTTATTTAATATTCAAACGTTCCCTGGTTTATTTATTATGGAATATATATATATATATATAAAGTTACACCAGATACCAAATTCATAAATACAAAAAATATTTGAACTAATACTAACAACGCGTTCTTTGTTTACTTTCATAATTTTTTTTGTTAAAAATGCCTAATAAATACTAAGCAATTTACTTTGACCCAAAGGCAATCAGTCGTAGAGAATTTGTGGGAAAGTGGAATTTGTGATGTACAGTATCTCATCTCCATAAGATAACACATATTTCTATATCTACTTTATACAAACATATCAAATAACAGCGTCCCTGAAACCCAAATCCCACCCAGGAAGACCAAAAAAACTTACTGCGGAAAAGCACATACATCTTGGAAAACTAGCAAGTTCAAGAAAATGTGCTAGCAGTAAAGAAATTGCTCATGTGCTTAACCAAACCTATCCAAACCTTAATATTAATATTGCACCATGAACAGTCCGTGAGAACCTCTACAATCTCAGCTATCGCGTTTGTGTACCAGTTTCAGTACCAATGTTAACAGCCAATGCAAAGGATTATCACATCAAATGGGCAAAGTCTCATCTTAAAAAAAAAGTTGTCTTTTCTGATGAGACAACCTTCCAATTATTTCGCAATACTACTTTGGTAAGATATAAAGTGGGACAAGAAAAGCCGCGGCATGCAATTGTCAAACATCCACTCAAAGTTCATGCTTGGGGTGCTTTCTGTTCACAGGGAGTTGTCAGATTTCATTGTTTTACTGAAAACATGAATGGGGAGCTTTACCGGAAAATTTTAATGAAAAATCTTTTCTCTAATGCTTCAAACCTATTGGGAAAATTATGGATTTTCCAACAAGACAACGACCCCAAGCCTTTTACACTGCCAGGTTAACAAAGGAACTTCTGAAAGAAAAATGTCCAAAAGTTCTCGATTGGCCTTCTTACTCACCTGACTTAAGATTAAACCCTAGTAATAGTATTATAAGATTTTTATTAATTTTTTTTTTTCAAAAGTAATCATATGAAGTTCATGAAAGGCATTTATCCATTCCACTAAGGAATTTTTTGGCTATTTGGCCACCAATGAATAACAAAAATTAGTCAAACCGGAAGCAATCCATCTTTTTCCAGACATTACAATATACCTTGAAGGTATCGTTTATTAGTTCCCCCAGTCTTTAGGTAACATGATTTAGGAAATAAATTTGAAACAAATTTCATCCATATTTCATCGGATATTTTTTCCGCGAATTTTGAGGCTGGTCTAAGGTCCATAATATCGCTATGACATAAGCTAATAAAAGGTGATAATACAGAATAAGACTACTTTATTTTTCATATCAATAACGGGAACGGATTCTACTTACTCAAAGTCGTTTTCACACTCATTACGAAAATATTCTCCAAATTGACATTGTCTATAACCAGGGGTGTTCTTCAACCCTTCCGACCATTGATTCTGTTACGTTTTGAGAATCGTCATTCGGTCTCTATACTCTTGACGTTATTGATTGCTCCGGACTAACAACGGTTCGTTTCCTAGTATTATTTACATAATTGCTTTATATTCCAGCCAAGATAACAGTTTAGGGCTGAGACGAAGAGAGAGGAATATGCGAAGCATAAAGTCAAAGACTCATATAGCATGAAATCATTATCGTTGACATTATTGCTACATTGTTTCTTTTCAATTATTATTCTATGCCTTAATATTAATTAATTAGTTAATCAAAATCACATGATCAAAATTTCAGCGTCAAAATCGCACGCATAACTCGAGAATTTTTAGCGGAGCAAGCACAAAGTGCTAAAATTTTACGCGTAGACACTAGCTCCGCTATTACTTTTTCAAACGAAATTCTGCATAGCGGGACGAAATCTAGATGTATTAACATCCTGCTTCACAGACCCCCCCTCCTCGTTTATAGATTCCATAAGAAGGTGGCTGACTACTTCCAACATCGAACATACTAATATCACTATCGTCTCGTGGTGCAGATATATTAAGAGATGAGGGAATATTTGCCAACTCAGATGCAGATGAGTATGTTTTAAAAAATAGGGTCAAAGACCCATTATGCTGTAATAATAATTCGAATGATTCATTTTATTTAATGATTTGATCAAGCGAAATAGTGAAGCTAGCACGGCTAAAATAAAGATACATGGATAATAATAAATAATATTGTTTTCTTACGGTAGAGTTGCAAGGGAGAGAACGTACGGCCCCTAGACCATTATTATACGTTTCTTTACTTTGGCTCTACCAGGTTGAAAAACTATTTATTGTTATTATGATTTATTTCATCATCGGTATCATCGCCACTAACTTCATTAATATTATTATTATCGTTGAATGTAGATTTATTTTTTCCTTTAGTCTTGAGCTCGATCCAAGATTTGATTGCTCCCATAGTCCTGACGTCGGATTTCGTTGTTTGATTATAATAGTTCTCCACCGCTTTGTTCGATACAACCTTTATTTTCTTCTCCTTTCTAAGATCACTTGCAACTTCGGCAATCATATCGGCTTTAGAATAACCGTTTTCTCGCATGGTCTCGTCGAAAAGGTTTTTAAATTTCTGAAAAACTAGATCTGAAAACGAAGTGCGTCTTGAACCTAATACAATACAAAAATATTAATTTACATGAGTCTCTCAAAGTAACGGTATCTATTTATACGTTGAAATAATCTTCTCCTTGTTCCTTTTTTAAAATGCTTCTAATAGTGCTGCAATTCTTTGGTTCCATGGTGGATTTAATGTAAATTAGTTTCATATTAATAGTTTTATATATAGAGGAGATCCTATATTAATCATGTTATGGTCACATTCTGGTATGATAAAGTGAGCATTAAAATAACAAGTCCATGAGCACATTATTATTTCTCAAAATTTATCAGTCACACTGGTCAATTTTTCAGCCACATCACACCTCTCATTTATAGAACGTTCACTTTGTCTGGTTTTGTTGCGGTCTGCCCCAAATTACAATTTTTTACAGTAAAAAAATTAACCGGCCTAATAGAAATGGTACACAGTAAAGTCCGTTTTTGTTATGCCAAAAACTTTGTTAAAGCCGACTTTTATCTCATTAACAAGTTTTTACATAAGATTACGTATAATGAGATTTCTTACTAAGTTTCGAAGTTAGTAAAATTCTCTAAACATGTCAGTAACGTTACCCTAAATCCGCTATGGGCAAACCGGGACCAAACATACATGCGGGTATTTGTGAAAATTTTTTCGTTGTTTTTGCTACAATGTCTATTTGTTTACACAATCACTTTAGATACACATGAATAAATTAATCATATAAAAGCTTCATTGTAAGACTATTGTTGCTAGAACAGATCTTTGTTAAAGCGGGCTTTCCTGTGTATGGGAGATGCAATGTGGATGGCGTCGCCTAGTAACGTCATCCACACCGCACAGCCGCATAATATTATTTACTTGGGTCTGGGTGTTTGCATATTTTTGGTCTGGTTAATAGCAAAATTGCTTTACTCTCTGCGATATAATCTATAGACTTAAATTATTGCCACTGTGGCGGTAGCATATACTATTCGTGATGTTGACAGAATTGTTAAAGCAATTATAGTATCAGACGCTTTTACAATTAAAAACTTTTGAGAAAAATATAACAAATTATTAAAAGTGGAAATTATAGCCTACTACTACATATCGTAAATAGTACGTGGGTTTTCTTTATTCTTAATGTTAATATATTTACATGTCAAAAGACAATCTCGCCGTAACGCGCTTGGTTGGTTATTCTCATTATTCTCATTTAGCTATCAGGGTATCAGTTGATCCCCGAACGCCCAATCAGCTTACCTGTAATATAAATAATAAGTTCTATTATTCTACAGCCAATGAAATTCTGATAATATAATTGTTCGTGTGGCTATTTATATAAATATCACTTATTGTAGCATTCGTTTATTTATAGAGTAAAGGCTACAATACTACTCAATTATAACCGATTTGTTATCACTTTACCTCTCTCAGTAGTAATAGCTGCAGCCCCATAACCTTTTCCTCCAGCAACACAAACTCTAAACCTTTTATTGGACCATTTCTTACCCATAAAGACACTCACAATAATAGAAGCAACTGTATTAATGTCACACAATATACATTGTATAGACTGCAGGGAATAATGCGTTTTGAATGTATAAAATAGATTAACCCCAGCACCCTCTCTTTCTGTGTCCAATGTGTTTTGTTTAGAGGGAAAGAAGGTGTGATAATAAAAAAAGATACCATAGAACTTAACCTGCTATACACAAACGTTCATATATAGTCTAAATAAAAAAAAATAGATCATGTCTCCCTCGAAAGGGAATGAGGAAAAGAGCTACGTCTTTTGTTATTACGTGTCTGGACATGGTAACAAGAAGTTAACCTATTGTTTAGAGTTGTCACATCACATTCCCCTCTTCATAACCACGCAGTCAGTGCTTACTATACAACCTCCTGCTGTTTGCTCCTTTACATTAACAAAACCAATAACTGATCACTTTCTAACATCTTGTAACTCTTACTTTCCGTCGCTTCATCTACTCTCCAGGCTTTGGTCATGCAACACGCGTAGTTCAAATTGCTTCCGAAATCCTCTCCCTCTCCCGTTCGCATACTACCTACATAATTTCCAACGCTCCTCGCTTCATCTTTCAGTCCGCCATAGATCTCGGTGCACAATACCGTCATGCATTAATCGACGCAGGCGTACAGCAGCCGTTACCATATACGGTTGATCGAGAAAGGACGATAAAGGACTTGACTGAATTTTTAGAGAAAAGAGAAGAGATGCTGGAAATCGAAGTTAACTGGCTGAAGGAAGTTAAAGCAGACATGGTTTTGAGTGATGCTCCTTTTCTACCGTGGTGAGTTTCATCGACATGGAGGTGGGAAGGAAAACTCGTGAGAATGGGATATCGATTTTACGTCATTTATTTGCTCTGATTTCGTCATTAACCTAACTCTCTCATTAACCAGCGCCGCCGCTGCTGCCGCTGGCATTCCTTCATCCATAGTTTCCAACTTTACGTTTGATGCCGTTTACCATGGATTATGCGAGGGTGATGAATTAGACATGACAATAAGATCCCTAGTCGAACGTGTCATAGCTGATTATAAAAATTCAGAGTTACTGATAAGACTGCCAGGCTATATACCATTGCCTGCGTTCCCGGGTACACAACTGTTTCCTAATGATCGGATTTTGTTTGAGAAGAGAGCAAGAAATAAAAAGGGAAAAGTAGACAAGAACGGCGTTAGAACGGGGAAAGTTGGAACCAATGGGGTAATCATACATGACCGCAAATCTTCCATATTATCCCCCCGCAGAACCACCCGTTCTTTTAAAAAATCTGCAACATCTCTTAATATACGACGCGTAGTTGATGTTCCCCTTGTAGTTCGAAAGTACAAGAAATCTCGTGAAGATGTCTTGCGCGGTCTAAATATTCCTCGTGAAATTTTTGAAACGCACAAGGTTCTTCTCGTTTCATTTGGCGGACAAAAGGTTGCCAATAACAAAGAATGGGGCGAGCCGTTACCCGACGGGTGGATTGCAATCGTTTGCGGAGCATGGAGTTCTGACGGAAAGACTTTACCAGACAGGTTTTACAAGTGTCCGGTAGATGCATACTTTCCTGACCTTACTAACGCAGCCTCGGTGGTAATGGGGAAACTGGTATGTTTGGAGGGGAGAATAAAGGGAAATTTGTAGAACAAGACATTTGTGGAGATGCTACTTTATACTTCATTAATCTTTATTTTTTTTTACCGTATAAATATTACAGGGTTATGGCACATGTTCGGAATGTATAGGTCATTCCAAACCTTTCATATACGTCTCTAGACCTCAGTTTATCGAGGAAATGGGCCTTAAACAGCTCATGTTGACACATGGTTCATGTGTAGAAATTCCAAAAGAACACTTTGAAACAGGTCGATGGCAATCATACATTCTCAAAGCATCTACGTTGTCTGGTAGATGTGAAGACGAGAAGAAGGTATTGAATCATGACGGTGGCAAAGTGACGGCAAATTTACTGGAGAAGTTCTTGGATGATCGGACGCACTCGATCAAGTTAAAGTCATAGTGTGTCACGTGCACATGAAGAATTAGAGAATATAAAGAATGCGGTGAATAGTTGTAGGAGGTAAAAAAAAAATAGAGTAATTATATTAGACGATAACGTTTACTATTACCGGTTGACATTTTAATCTTTCGGATTGATAGATTGCTATCATTATATTAAAACATGTAATATTAATATTAATACCATTTTAAGATTATCAATCACGTGCAGATTAAAAATAATTTAAATTTAGTCAGTTGGGCTTAGATTTAAAAACCTTACACGTTGATATCTTGAATCTATCTTATCAATTAGTTTTTTTTCAAGTGTTCTAGACAGCTGTTTATTTCATGTCAAGCAAGGTTTATGTTCGAAAGAAAAAGTCATTACAAATGTCGATATGCAAACCCATCTTCGGATTCTCTGCACAAACTGTATTCCATGGCGCAAATAGCTTTGTGTCTAGTACAGAACGCAAAATGAAGTTTGTTGGATGCAGATAAGCTCTATTGAGAAATTCTTGTTCGCTCTTTTCTTTTTTTTTTCGTCCAATGTCGTGCCGAGTTTCTCATGTAAACGGACATCACGAATATTAACTGCTTTCATGCTTCTGCCAGGAACTCACCGACCCCTCGTTACTATTTTTGGAAGCGGAATACGGACATTTTCTTATCATTATACGTAACTGCAAGTCATGTGATGAGTTAAAAACTACATAGCTTCTCATAGCTAATCTCATTCTTTATTTATTTTAAAAACATTGTCCACGGTTTAGAATCTTTCCATGTTCTAGCTCGCTTA